CTTCGACGCTATGGCCGTCCATTGTTTCGCAAATCACGGAAATTGGATGTGGAGAACCACGTTTAATTACGACAGGTGCTCGTGTGTCTACACTACATATGGCTGCTCGCCAAAAAAAGTAGGAATGTATGTAGCGCAAAAATGATACTTCTGGGTTGATTCGCTGGAAAGTATGACTGTAGGCAGATCTCGAAGACATAAGGACCATCGCAGATTGAACAGAGCGTCTGCTCCAAAAATGAATGGTACAGTGTTTTGGTTTGTGATAATTCTGCATAAGTATAGTTCAAAATATATTAATATGGCCTGACTACTCTCAATTTCCCTCACAAGCTAATGTCGAATGATGTTAGCGTGTAGTCGAATAGGTAGTTTTTTAGGCTTCAAATAAAACTTCATGTACGCGGTGATTCTGGTTCTTTTGAAATCAAATTTGTCATTCATATCGTCTGTGATGCTTCAACCATTCCAATGCTTTTATTTTGTTTTAATCAGATGCCGGTAGTCATGACACGTTTGAGTCTCGCCAGCTCAAAGTGGCAGAGGAGAATTACCTGTTTTATGATGAAAAGCTAATTGCAATGAATTGTGCTCCAGTTGAGTTTGAAAATTCTTTAAGCCCTTTCGGAAAAATACAGATGATGTGTTGTTGCGCGCAACAACACCGTCGCCACATCCCCCACAGTGAATGGCAAGATGCTTATCATTTTTTGCTGAGGTGTAATCAATGTATTAATGAGTGCGCTTCTCGTCTCCCGAACACCTATGGCCTTGTTGTCAATTGATGAGAGAATTCGGACTGTCAATGGGTCAGATGATTTGTGTGCCTTAAGTTGTTATGGCACTACGTCTAATAACAAACATACCGATCAATCGAAGTGCTCGGTTGCACGGTGTATGTTTACAAGTTTGCATTCAATTCCTAAAGCTTGCTGTATTAGCATTGACCCGCATGATACTTAGCATGTAATGGCACCTTCTTATGAGGACTTCAAGTACCGAACACTATATAAGGCATGCGGTTCTCCGTGTGTGACCACTTCAGAAATACAGCTCGAGCGTTATGGCTTTGGGTCCAGCATGTATATGTGTACTCGCAAATATGTGCGCATGTTTGCAACGTGTGAGCAGGTTAATCACTCGCCGCATTCAGCGGCACCTTTGGCCAGTCTGCCTGTCCCAAAAAATTTGGCTTTCCATAAATAGGAGTTTCACTTTCGTCCTTGAAAGATGCGTTTGGTTATACCGGTATTGTGGGCTCTATGGACTGAACAAGACAGCTAGTGTGACATAGGAGAGTACAGCCAAGCTTTATCTCAACAAATTGTTTTGTCAATATGGCCTTTTTATAGCCGTAGTATTGAAGTTCAATTTTCAGACGTTTGGTAAACATTACTCAAGTCATCACCAGATTAAACATTTCACGTGCTGACAATCTGTAAGCAAATTACAAGATGAAACGCGAGAAACGCGTGGTAAAGGGTATCTCTTGAAGGACATTTTACAATGAGGCTGCGGTGCTAGAATGAGTTGTTCCCATAGATTGCATTTGCGCTGTATACTAAAGGTCGTGCCTTTCCACGCTTTCTTTATTTTCTACATAAAATTCGTTAAACTCTGTGGGTTTTCACACCGCCACAAAATGGCACCAATCCTTGTCGAGTAGGAGCTGACGATTTTATTCTATATACTGGTATCAGATCGGCTTCACTTCGCAAAAAAACTCAACCTGACCGGTTGATCACTATGCACAGGAACGCAATGCTACGTTTGAAAGCCAGGATAGACGAAAGATACACGACGAAGCAAAAAGTCGGCGAAACGCATCCGCGTATGATATGGCACAAAAGATTTTGCTGAATGCAATAAACCATCCTCCTACCTACACATGCAGTGCCACCTGAGTTGCGACCGAGCTACTGTGAAGGTAGCAATAAATAAAATCTCAAAAACGCAGCGAACGCGATCTCTACGGGCTTACTGATGTAATGCCACGATCCCGTTCTTTTGAGCCAGTTGGAATCTTGAAAAACAGCAGTGTCTCTATTATTCTTGGCAGCTGAACTTCCTTCTGCTCCAATATCGCGACTCGGAGCTAAATCGCTGAAAGCGCTTGTAGGAATGCGAAGCTCAAACATCATACAGTAGATCTTACTCATCTCGGTGTTATTCAAGCCGTGACAGCTAACGTGATGCTGTGAGCAAAAAACAAACGAGAGCAAGTGAAGGACTGCCGACCGCCGCAGGCACTGCTCAATGACTTTTACGCAAAGCGTTTGTTGCGTCAGCGGTACACCAGAAGTTTTTAGTCAAGTAGAAGGGACATTATTAAAATAATGGTCTTAGGGTTCCACTTCGGCAATATCGCCCTGGTGCTGGGATCATTCAGGACGTGGCGCTTCTTGGTCATTATCTTCTCGCCTATTGCAACACGCTTTCCGTTAATGGGTTACAATTGGCCTTGTGGTTGGCATGTCCCTTGGTCGGTAATTATGTCAGCTACGACACCAGTAGGTATTGGGGGCTATTAGTTTTCACGTCGTTTTCTACGTGGTACGTTGTACTACGCCGGACCAAACATGAGTAGAGGCTCTTGACGAACGTCCGCTTTACTGAAGATGGCTTATTTGGCCTTAAGACAGGTAAGTTTTTCTCATTCAAGCCACGAACTGAGTTTGATAGTCATGGGTATTCTCGCAAGGCTCAAGTACCCAAGGTGCTTTTCTTATAGGGGGACGAATTTCCCCAACCGCTTCTGCTCTGACACAAGCAGTATTCTAGGGAGAAGTGACCAGTTCATCGAGAAAATTACCATGCAAGGATTTTGTGCTTGCTTTGCTCTTATTTTGAGCGGGACGCCAGTACGCATAGGCAAGCAAGGGCTCCGCGCGCCAGAAATGCGAGTAAATCCGGATGGGTAGAAATTGTTATTACAGCTCAATGACTAGTCGTAACTCTTGTAATTGTAGTATTCGAATCTAGGCACTAAGAGCCAGGTACAGCTTGATGCTGGCCAGACAATGTCGTGAGCTTAAGAGCGGCGCCGCATCACATTGTGCTGTTGGCAAAAGGTTCGTGGTACTTAACTCATGCGGAGGATAGGTTGAACGCAGAGATCACATCCCCGCCTTGTGTCATCACAGTACGGCGACGATGTCGTTCAGGACTCACTATGGCCGTTCTTACTGTTTGAAAAAAAACTCGACATCTCAATTGAGAATTGCTTTGAGTTCTTTAATCGCATGGCCGCATTAGTCCTCTGTCTGAGTGCGCGGGGAAGATTCTCGCATAGAATATGTCTTGGTGAAGGAGGGCTCTGTTCACAAACAGTCCATGAAACACAACACACACGCTCGTGCGACAAGGAAGCAATTCCGGACGTGGAGGGTGCCGACTTAGAGGGAAGAAGAACAAATCAATTCTTTTAGAACAAATTTGCAACTGAGTCAAAATGGGTTATGGTTCCTAGCCACATACAAAACACCTGAAGGGCTTCTAGAGGTTTTACAAATATAACCTTGAATTGCTCATTATATATCAAGGGTGTACTGAGGTTAAACCTCAGCTACCACTACAAAATCTTGGGTGTACGGAGCTTGAATTTTGAAAAGCTTGAACTTCAACATTTTTGGAAAGTGTTCAGTAGAAGGAACTGGCTTTCCTTTTCCACTTCGAAAGACAGAGACACGTCGGCCTCATCACCCGTACAGATCCCAATTTAGGAACCAGCATTCTGTACCACATAGAATGTTTACGACTTCATATAAGATGCAGTCGGGAACACCGTACTTTAATATTTTTTGTTGTCAATCCCCACAATCCATACAGAAGGTACATATATATGCCTTTACGTAATTGCTAAGTGTAGCCCGATACATCCGAGGGCAGGGACAGTATGGTGCAAAAGTGGAGTTATGTTGGATGCTCGTGAAGCGGTTTCTTTCTGCACACTTGTACAAATGAGGCCAGGTGCGGTGGGAGGGTATAACGGAGTAATTGCCGTAATCACACCTTACAGTTTCTGGTATTAGTGTATCAAATCAATCGAACAAAATTTATATGCTCTCCGAAAAGGAGGGGTTGTACATGTGGGCTGCTAGCCACTAGGTATTAGCCTAAATAACATTAATTCTCAATATATGTATTTTGAAAATGGTAGAGCACGCTAGACATCTAGTCACATCAATGTATCTCGATCCTGATTTTAGCTGATGCGTACGAACCCAACGTCTGTGTGTTTGTGTGTTTGTCAACTCGAGATCTAGAGTTGAAGCTATCTCACTGCAAAGTGCATGGCAATAACCATACTACTAACTCGTTCTAGGTTAATTAACCGAAATTTATCAATCCGAGTCAATACTACAATTCCATGTACAGCACTCCATCACAGAAAGATACCGTCTATTTCGGCGTCAGTGTCAGTAATTGCTCAACGTGAGATTGAGTATCCATTTTTTAGCAAGGACATGCAATCGTTTGATCCCGTCTTATCAAAATACCATGTCTTTTGCCCTCTGGCGTCGCTCAAGGACGAAGCAAAGTTAATGCTAACATTTTCGGACACTTAGTGCCTTGCATCAAAGTTATCGCCGTTTTAAGCAGCGCTTTCTATATCCTAGTTGAAGTGGGATCGACTCACCAATCTTGAGAAGTGCGAAGAATAAAGTGTTTTCGATTGTCTGGCGCTGAAATGACAATTGCTGAGAGGAAAAGCGTGCCTGTACAATTTGATTGCGTAATCTCCAGACTTTATACCTTTGTCTACTGATTTGGATGCTGATGCATCAAACGTATGATCTCGTGAGCTATCTAAGTGCTGTGGTGAGACAATCGAAACCAAATGGATTAACAATGTCCTACAAGCACTTGTCCAGTCTTCTTAGTTCACGACAACGACTTCAATCAACAGATCAGTGGCATGTTCCGTCCACCTGCTACTTCAAGACATTTTCCCTCGGTTTTGCTATTGTAAGCGTTGACAGCGCCAAATCAGATAAAGTTTAGCCTGTATGCAATAATAATGTGAGGTCTATTAGCAAAAACGACCTATAATTTCAAGCGCTCAAGAATTCTTACCTAAGAATGAAGTCCTGCGACAATGCTCTCAAGTTGCTGACGGTCAGTGACGTACACAACATCGTTGACTTTTGTACTGGACTTCTCCTCGAATTTACGTGGTGCCATTCCTACTCGATCGGACGGTACTAGCGCTAACTTTGTCGCCTTGTCACTGTCGTATTTCTTTGCAACTGACACTAACCTGGAGAGGAAGGGCTGCAACACACATGACTGCTCAAGATTAGCATGGCAACCCACAACATAAAGCCCAAGCCGAGCACGAGAAAAGGCAGTTGATGCACGACAAACATCTTCAAGGCGTCCCACGCTTGGTCCACTACGAACCGTGGAAAGTAAAATATAATCATTCTGTTTTCCTTGAAAGCTATCAATAGTCGACACGCTACAAATCTTCGCTCCTTTTGGAACATCGACACAAAGAAGTCGCTTCAAAAGATCTTTCTGAGCCGTATACGTTGTAAGAATCGTCACTTGGTCTGGACGATAGCCAATACCCATCATGTACCAAAAAAGTGCAACAATGAACTTGGCCTCTTCCATATTTTCGTAAGCATGAGGTTTCAATTGATGCTCAATTGAAACTCCAGATAAATCAATGAATTGTGCCACATGAGCAAACCCAGTGTTGCCAGTCTGGTACTCTTGACCCGATTTAACATGAGGCAAGTCGCCAAGCGTAACCTTTTTTCCATTTGAACTCATATTTTCATATCGCCACTGATAGATATCAACCAACTCACTCCGACAGCGGCCTTGATAGTCAAGCATAATATGAGGAACCCCAAGTCGCAGAAAACGTGAAAATAAACTCTGACCAAAATGTGCATAACTTCTAAGTGCGATTGATCTCACCACCGGTGGCAGCTGCTTTGGGTCTCCCAGAAGTACAACACGTTTTAAACCTGAAAGCATTTTCTGATCACTTGCTGCTGACCTTACGGGATTTGAACATGCCAAAAGAAGTGGAACAATCATATTCACTTCGCTTATTTGGGCAGCATCCTCCATAATCAGACTTCCGAATGTCATATTAAGTTTCGTAAGCTCATGATAGTCCGAAGCTGAATGCGTGCAAGTCATAACAACAATACGAGCGTGATCGATCATATACATGTCATCACGCTGGCGTGAAGTATGTAAAAGTTCAAAAGGCTGTAGACGACGCAGCTCATGAAAATGAGATTTGATATCCAGAGCAAATTGATGGAGAGCAACTATTGTATCAGGTGCTGCTCCCTTCTGCAAAGTATAAAACTCCATAAGCGATGTAGTATTATCGCTTTTTGACGGCAACTCACTCGCTTCGCATGCCGCATCGATATATTGCTTCATGTGAAACTGGTAAAATATTTGCGTGTTCTCGCAAGAATACGATGCAGAACCATCAGCAAGACCAGCGTATCGCGTTGGATCTCGTTTCATCAGCCACTGAGCCATTTGCTCTACTTCAGTCAGCAATTCAGCTCTTCTCTTTAGCAAAAAGGCTACGCGACCACTTCGGCTAAAATTCGCGTAAGAATTTCCGTCGCAAACTTTACTTGCATAATGGCCGTCTTCGAATTGCTCTCGTCCAATTCGTACGATCTCGGACTCAGGGATAACATTTTGAGCCAATACTTTCGCGAAGAAGTCATTCAATGCTTGATTTGAGTGTGCAACAACAAGAATTTTTTCGCGCTCCGGAGATGTGCGATACAGATTCATCACGAGCTGCACAGCAACAGTTGTCTTGCCTGTACCTGGCGGACCTACGACCAGTGTAAGACCCTCACACTGTCCTGATCGCACAGCAGCGACTTGCGCCTTTGTGTATCGCAAAGAAGTTGAGATGCGCTGTGATGCTGCAGGGGGATATTCTCTGTCATAAGCTTGGATATAGTTTGCGCCATTATGAAGACTATGCACGTACGTAAAGGGGGCAACTGCGTCATTCGGCTTTAGCTCGACTGTTTCGTCGTTAATATGCACCAGTTTCTCAACATCACCCGCGTCGAGTGCATGCTCTCCATTCTGGAGAAGCTCGAACAGAGGAATTACAAGCTGATTCTCCGCCCTTGACTTGTAAATTGACATGTAAAATGCAGTTGCCGGATCCCCATACCCCAAGAATAGGTCGTGAAGCCATGATGGTACTAAGTTTTCCGAGTCAGCATTAATACATGCACCAGCGACTGTGTCGAATACACATCTCAAATTATTTTTGAGAGGAATTCGTCGGACTAATATGTTAACTTTTTGGTATGCATCGACGCGGTTCGCTTCAATGTCCTTCTTGTACTGCAACCCATCTAGTGCGAGTTTGAAAACACGCTTCCTTCCTTTACCCACAGAATGCTCGGCATTAATTACGTTGCCAGCTACGTCTTGGACCTCTAGTATTTTCCCTGCACGAACATAAAGCACACCGAACTTTTCGGGAAACGATCCTGACTCCTCTACATTCTGTTTGAAGGCCATCGTTTCAGCAAGTTCATCTGCTGTCGCTCTCAATGTCACGAGAAATACAACCTCTTTTCTTTGGTAACAATCAAAACACTTGCGATCATGTCGACTAGATAATTCCACTTCTACTTGCGCAACAACAGCAGCTGGAATAGTCTGGCCAAGCGACGGTTTCCTCACTTGTACAATTTGTAGCGGACTCGTCAGGGCGACAGCAGATGGTGAGAAACCACGAAAAATTGTGTCGTTGTCATTTAATGATTGAAGAGTTCGCACAGCATCGAGTTGCTTAACGACTGTTTCAAGATCCTTACGAACATCTAGTGAAACTTCAAATCGAAGCAGCTCAAAATTACGCTGAAAATAATCCTTCAAATTTAAATACTGTAAGCCCAATCTCCGCACAGGCAAAACCGGAAACAAGCTGGTTTCGTCTGCGCTGTATATTTGATTCAATCGCTTCATAGAATTGTCGCCATCCATTCCGTTTTGAGATGAGATATCCTTGCGATCCAACATCTCGCTCCAAATATCAATTTCGGTTGGATAAATCGATGCGAAAACGCAATCCATATCACTGCTGGAAATGGAATATTCTTCCGTGAAAAATTGAATCAGCTCAGAATCCGAAGTCGAATTAGCCTCAATTTGATCAGCCAGTACACCAACGGCGATCGCCAACAATGACAAACGTGGGCGATCGGCAGCTGCGATGCTGTAAAGCATCTTTTCAAAGGTTAAAGCGTCTGCAATGTGACCACATGGAGCAACAGCCAAATCTTCCAGCCGTGAATTTCGAAACGAAAGAAAAGCATACTGTTGCAACTTCTGGATGTGACGAGTTTGATGCATCCGCTGCTCTTGTGGTGATAACGATGCACCCGTTTGTGCGTCAACCGGGAACCGCATGTAGACATCTAGCAGCGTTATTTGCTTTATAAGAGCCTGTCTGTCATAAACGTCCTGTGCCTCTAAAGCATATTGCAAGACTGCGCTATTTTTCAGTAATGTGCGTATATGGCGACGCCTCAAGATGGTCAAAAGAAAGCGACGAGTAGATAACTGACTTAAAAAGTCAATCAACAACGCTAAAAATGCTGCAATAAAGCGTAAATGTTCCACGATCTCGTGCGTTGGCACGTTATTGTCCATTGGCGCTTTTAAAGCTTCAAAAAACGCATTCAGTTGGCAAATTAGAATCTTTTGCTCATTTTGCAATGTTTCGTTCGTGGATTCCCCTTGTCGCTGTTTCTTAATCTTTCGCTTAACTTCTGGTGATTCCTGTCCCATTACTCGATTCCAGTGTCGTTCTAGTTTCGGGTACATTTGGAACTCTAACGCGCGTTGGGTCGGCGAAAGCGTTGTCCAGATCGAAATTGATGTCATCTGGAGTACAAAGGTTGCCACTTGCGGTACTTCGAGGCTTTGAAAGCTTGTGATGACGAATTGCGTTAGTGCCGTTCTTTCCTTGAACGTCCACCTAATGTCTTTACTTGTTTCCGCTAATGTTGTCCAGATTATTGTTGTAAATGTCTTCCAGGCTGCGTCGTCTTTCGTTAAAAAGGACCATACACCATGAATATTATCATCGGCAGATAATACGTCTACTTTTCGAGCGCGGAACCCCACGAGCAAAAGCACGGACACCAGCCAAGCCTTCTTCATGTGGTAGTGCATATTGATCACAGCCTCTGCTAATGGCCACAAAGCCTTATTTAGAAAGCCTATACGATCCAAATCTTGTAGGCAAATGATTGTTCGTTCATCATCGCTCGCTTCGCTCATAAATTCATTGTAAATTGCTGCTACCGCATCTAGAGACTGTGACGCGGAGGATGAAATATTACTCCACACCGTTCAAATGCGGATGAGAAAAATTCTTACAGATAGCGTACCTTTTCCGATAGTGGTTGTTGTAATATTTGATGTGCAAGCGCGCGTACCGAAGGAGTGTCTTTAGCCACGCTAGTAGACGCGAGAGCTGGTTGACGCATTACGATAGCCAAAGATTGAGATTTGCTGAATTTATAGTCACTTGAATGTAATTTGGTCGCGATTAAATTATTCCTAATATTTACATTGATTGTTACTTAGGCACAGCTTTTTGGTATGACTTAAAAGATGCCAGTTGAATGATGTTCGCGATTCTATGCTCAACAATGACGACTCTGATACTGCCGTTCAAGATTACTTTTAAATGCAGATGTAAGGCCTTGTATGTAAACGGTAAAAAAATGCATTGCGTGACGCAGCCATGGGACGCTATTTGAATTCCCTTAGTAGGCGTCACGAAAGCGTTGCACAAAAAGGTGTGAGGCTCTTACAGAGTTTCTGCGTCTAGACCTTGTGCAAATGCTTGGATTTAATCCCTCACTAGAAGTCCGTCATTCTTCACTTTTACCAACGATAGCAACGAGCTGAACATAAGCATATGCAGCCTCGTATCTCGCCGAAAGTGCTGATGCCATCGAAGTGATTATGATTTTTGGTTGTTCACTTCCAGTCTTCTGGAAAATGATCCTTGGAAAATGGTTCTAGGAGAGCACGCGCGCAAAGTAAGTGAAATGTATGGTTTAATAGAAATATAAATGGTATGCGGTGAGATTTGGTAGTGTTGCTATCGGAATGCTTGACTAGTTGAGGCAAGTCCCATGAATTTATCGACACAGCAGAGAATCACGACGATAGCGGAGCGATGCCCATGGAGACAGATAATCAAATGCAGGCACACATGGTCATCATGCTGACCTGCTCAAGATGCATTGAAAAAGAAGTCAAATAGTACAACTCTCGATGCATTTGACATGAACATAATTTCGATGATTATTTAGCAGATGTTCTGAGGTAGTTCTGATGTAAACGGGGAATTTTAAGTGGGTGCTTCCGCTTCTTGTTTACTCAGGGTTCTATATGTAACAGAAAGAAGGCGCTTTCTTGGTGGTCGTGAATTAAGTGGAAGGCTTTAGTAAGTATCGTACTCAGACCAGCGCAAGCTGTGAAGATTGCCCGTGGATAAAGAACTACGCAGCGCTGGCTTGAGCTCGCAGCGACGAAACTCGATGTGCGGCAGTAGGATGCGAACCTTGTGGCCAGATGCCAATTTGACATAGACGGCTTCGTCTGTTATAGATGATATAGTGCCCCTGTAATCTTCATGCATAAGCGGTAGCGAAATTTGTACTTCATCTCCATCCACGAATAAATTCTTGCCACATATTAGCCGTCGTCGCTCCAACTTATAAGGTACTGGTGTTAACAAGGGTGCATCAGTAAACTTCGCAGTACAGATTTAAGCCTTTAGTTCCTTACCGTGAATGCTGTTCGATATATGCTCGACTGTGGCTTTGGCAATCTGCTTACAAGTGCTAACGATAGTCGCAATGTCAGTACTGAGGGCATCAAACGGTAAGCGGATCGTCTCGTCGGGTAGCAGCTTTAGCATCTCGTCCAATGTTGCCTTTTTTGGCGAGTCCGCTTTGCGTCGTTTGCACAAAGGTGCTTTTGGTGGTGTCACGGGCAGCTTGCCTTTTTCCATTTCGAGTTCGGTTTGTTTCTCCAAACTTGCAGCTATATGCATCATCGTATCTGGTGTACATTTCTGCTGCAATTCCTTTTTGATGTCTTCGATCTTAGCTCCGGGCTTAGACAGCACCTTCATCTCCGCCTGCAGCTTTGCCATAACGGCGTCTACCTTGGACAGCATCTTGTTTTTTAGTTCTATTTGGTCATTCTTGCAAAAGTTGTTCGCACGCTGCACCTCAAAATTGTATAGATCCTGTCCATTTTTCAGCTGTAGATTTTTATGTAGCTCTGCAGTCTGTAGCAGACGATTGCGTTCTTCTTTAAATGCGGCCACGCGACGACAGAACTCGGCGAGCGTACCATCCTCCACCATTTTCTTTTTTTGCTCCAATTCAGCCATTTTTTGGTCAGAGCGAGCGCGGCGTTGCGATTCCGTAAGCGGTTCAGATGCCATGGAGGAACCCGACGTAGATGACGTGTTTGAGCCGTTTGACATTGATCGCTGACGTTTTACTATGTTTTCTTCCTTGTCATCATCATCGTCATCACCATCGCCTTCGTCCCCGGATCGCGACAAATGAAGATCCTCTGCACTTCGCGTAAAATTTCGCATATCTTCTAATGCCTTTCGCGCTCTTCTGCGGCGACCTGGGCGGCGCTGGGACTCCTCAGTCGGGTGGCCGGTCGAGCTAGCGTCCGTGTCTGCACCGTCGGACTCAGCCACCATGCTGCGCATACGGCGACGTAAGCGCGTGCTGGTACCCGCGTCACTGCTCGCATCATCCTCAGGATCACGCGAATGATCACGGCGGCTGGAGCGCTCCATGTACTTGAAAATTTCCTTTGAGAGATATACTCGTATCGTTTTTCTAGTTATCAATATACTCACTTGCCAATTGTATGATTAAAAACACCTTGTGGCACAAATGGCCAACGTGATGGATACAGCCTCCCGCTGCATCATCAGCAAAATCGAGTAATTGAATCGAGTTCGTGATCTGATACACAATGTCGACTCAAGTACAACGGTTGAAATGTAGAGTGAGAGTAACCCCTGGTTACTTTCAGTCCGCCTTCTTGGTTTGTTTGCCAGTCAGCCATGATTGTACGCGATCTGGGCTTTAACAATATCGACATAGAAGGGAGACTGACGATGTGACGCGCTAAACTTGCACTCTAACTTGTGAGACTATAAGAATTGGGTGTCCAAAGTGCTTAACATCCGTGGACGGATTCGTCTTGAGATGTTGGTAATTTTGTAATACTGAGCGAAGTCAACGACTCATTGCTAGCAACGAAAGACGTCAAAAATATGACTGACGCGAATCAAAGATCAAAAGTCTGGAGTTGACGGTGTGATGTTTGGTCGCGAACTATTTGATTAATTTGGCCAGAGAGTCTGAAGATATTACGCAGCTTTTCAAGAGCTTTTGGAAAGGGCTTGTGGACATGATTCAAACTAAATTCAAATACGGCTCGAATTCACTGTAGTAGCGCAATTTGCATCCATTCGCAGCTAGCCCCCTCACGACATGTGCTCGGGTTTCCGCTACCTAAGATCAGTGCGAGCAAGGCTTGGTCTCAGCGCCTTATATATTCTGTTTTGATTTTTCGTTTAGCCTAGCTATCTCAGAGGACTGTAAAAGTTCGTCTTCGACGCGCGCGTCAAGAACTTCAACTGGAATTACCTTAAGAGCATTCTCGACCATCTCTCGTAGCTCAGGTCGCTGGCCCTTTCTTGCCCATTGCGCTGAAATTTCACGTTTAAATGCCTTGCCGCCAATCTCACCACTGGAATGAAGTGTTAAATTAGTAATTAGGTTTTCAATTCCAAAACGTTTCACGTACTTGAAGAGAGTCAAAAGTGGCTTCATCAGCGCGGACGTGGCCATCGTGTACGGAAGTTCGCTTAACGGTTTAGATGATCCCCATTTATCCTGTAGGTTCTCAGCGTATTCTAGATATTTCTGGATAATTTCGCGGCGCGACAGATTCGGGTTACGGTCTGCATTAAATATTAGCCGATCAGCATCACGAAAATTCCACGGACTGTTGTACGCTGCCCGTCCAATCATTATTCCGTCTACATTTGTACTATTTAGCAGCTCTCTTGCATGCTGGATGCTCTGTACACCTCCATTCAGCGTGAAATACAACTCGGGGAAATCCTGCTTCAGTCGGTATACGACGTCGTACCGTAGCGGGGGAACTGTACGATTCTCCTTCGGACTCAGACCCTTAAGTAAACATTTGCGTGCATGCACTATAATGTGGCGTACACCCGCACTAGCCACCATGGTTACATAATGATGTAGCTCTTCATAGCTATCACAATCATCCACACCGATTCGACATTTGACAGTGACCTCCGCTGGCGGGTGGTCCGGATTCTTCTCAGCTGCCAGCGCTATATTGCGCCGCATACTGATACATATGTCCCGCACACGTTCCGGTTCAAGCATCAGGCGGGCTCCAAAACAGCGGCTAGATACAAGCGCACTCGGGCATCCCGTGTTCAAATTGATCTCACAAAATCCGCCGTACGACTGGCTTAAATGCGCTGCGGCTAGTCAATTATATAAGTGCCGGAAAGAAGAAGCATAATACGTCGGAAAACTTACCACCTAGGTCTTTAATACTATTGCCGCCCAGCTGTAGCGCGAGTGGTGCTTCGACAGCGTCATGGCCTAGGAAGTATTCAAGATTCCGTTTTTGATGCAGCAACTGTTGACACATTTCCACAATTGTTCGTATGATTACAATTATTTTATAGCAGCTTCGTTTGGCAAGCGCATTGACGACTCACAGTTTGGTCTACTATCATTTCTGTGAACAGAAGCGTTTCCTTGGTAATCATGCGCATCATAAAGCGATAGTGACGGTCTGTCCAGTCCATCTGTACGAAATCAACTCTATGTTAATCTTATTGTTAAGACATGCAGACTTGGGATGATGATGAACCATGGGCGCAATGGACAAGCGTGATACGGAAGACATGGTTAGCAACGATTTTGACTTTGATATATATCTCATTAAGCTCAAGTGAGCATCACATATTTTACGTGAGTATATAAGTATTTGAAACATTTGCGATATTTCGAATTCTGCAATTTGCACTTCGAAAATCATCTTTGCTAATGGGTACACGATGTAATAGCAATACCAAAAATATAGCACCATAAAGAGTTCATGAAAGAATGAGTGTGGTGGAACGTAAGAAGAGGTTCAAGGGACGTATGCGGATAAAAGAAATCATTCTCCCAACGTTTGGACGTGAGAGTGTTGTGAACAACGGTCGTTGATACGACGTGATGTTGAATTTGCCTAATCCAACGATCGGCCCGAGCTATCCCAAGTGCTTTCATATCAGATCGTTGCTGTAGCTCTCCCTCTTATTATTAATTACAAGGGTCTTATAACCGTTCGTTCATCCTTATATAACACTTGCGTTTTGTGGCCCATTAAGGTAGAATCGCAAAAACGAATATACCAAACACACATTATAACAGAATGCGCTTTCGGGCTCTCATCTACGACCACGAAGGGTCCGATGTAGCCAAGACGCATGAAAAAATATGTTCCTGATCAAAATTGAACCTGATTTCCTGGTTTCCCGATTGTAAGTTGCTTTGTGCTTTCTGTCTATCAGCAATAGCATCACGCGCTTGGCGCATGAAGCTGAATCTATCTGAGATAAATTCGTCAGATTAGCTGTGCGATGTGACCGGCTTGACATCCGTAAATAAATCAATACTGACAATACTCGATATCACCGTGTCTGCAGCGGGGCTACCGTAGCTTAGCGCTTGAGGAAGCGTAATTTAGGTCACCGACCTTTCGTTTTATACTTAGAACAAGTACA